AGGAAAATTAATTGATTTTGAGATCGGAAAAATAGTTTTTATTATAATTAGAATTACTGAGAAATCTGTATAAAATTAATAATCCCTTCCTCCATTCTAATGCATGAATAACTAATTAACATGACTTCGATTTGGTTCCCTAATAATAAATACCCCCCTAATACTAAAAACTACCTGCCGTGTTTTGTATTAGGGGGGGGGTTTAGTATTAGGAGGAAGGGATTATTCAGGGTAATGCTGGAGTTTCTGAAGGTAATAATAAATTATCTTAAGTATTATATAGATGCCACCAAAGAAAACCAGTAAAAGCAAAATACCAAAAAAACAATCCCTGAAGATTTTGAACTATCAGATGAAGAACCCGCTGTTGTTAATCTGAATGAGGAACAAAAACTGACATCTAAAAACATTGTATTTGAATGTCCCTTGTGTAATGGCAAACTACAGATGAGAAATGAAATTGAAATCAACCCAAGGGCATCAAATGTAAATGTTCCCCCTGTAGTTTCAAAATCAGCAAGAATGATAAAACAATGAATGTCAAAAAAGATGATGATGGTGAAATTGTTTTAGAAAGTGAAGACCATAGCATCAGTTTCAGTTTTAACCGCCAGATTACACCAGAGGACAAAAATAAGGAAAGCACTAGCAATATGTTACGGGTTGTAATGGCTACTACCCCCAGAAGTAAAGGACAAATGGCAATAAATGATATGGATTGAAACTATTTAAAGAGTGATTTTAACACACTTTGAACTGATAAATAAATAAATATCTAAATAATCATATATAGAAATGAGTGATTTAGATGATAAACAGCCTGAAATGGCAGAGATGCTGAACAAGATGACTAAGTATAACAAGAATGTGAAGGTATTGATGGACTTAATGAACAAGGCATTAGAAAAACTTGATATATTAGTGAAAAATAAACCTGCTGAAAATAATGATGCTGATGCTGAAAAAGAAAGGATTGATAAAATCTGTGAGAAAAAACAGGTGGGTCGCCCAAGAGGCAGTTTTGAAGAGAAACAATCTCAATATCTGAAAATGCTAAATGAAGGTCGCGTGAAGCAACCTAAAAGTCAAACTCTTGAGTTTTACAAGATTGAAAGGGATGGTGAAGTGTATAAATTAATGGATTGATAAAATGCGTGTCTTTCAACAATAATTTCATATATAAATTATATGAAATTACTTGAGATGTTTAGCGGGACAGGCAGTGTGGGAACTGTCGCAAAAGATATTGGCTGGGATGTTGTGTCATTAGATTTGAAAGGGGCTGATATCAATTGCGACATACTACAATGGAAATATAAAAAATATCCAGTGAAATACTTTGACTTTGTCTTTTCTTCACCAACTTTTAAATACAATAGGGTAAATGCTAATGATGTCCCAAAAATAGGTAAAATCAATAAGATTGTGGTAAGAATACTTGAGGTAATCAATTACTTCAAACCAAAGGTTTTTGTGATACAAAATCCCCAGTCAAGTTTGTTGAAAGAACAAGAGTTTATGAAGAACCTTCCCTACTATGATTTAGACTTTTGTAAATATTATGGGTGTGAATACAGGAGGACCACAAGGTTTTGGACAAACTTGGAAGGGTGGCAGCCCAGAGAATTATGTAAAAGGGACTGTGGCAATGTACCCTCTGGTAATTTAACGTAGCTATTGAAAATGGCCATTTATAGTGGATTTTCCCATTAAAAATGGTGATTTTCCATAGTTATGTTAGTTTACCAGAGGGTAAAAGAAAACAAACATATTGAAACAGCAAAACAGACACCGTCAAATTACTTATCCCTGAAGCATTGGTTCAAGAAATGCTAAATGCTGAAAATATATAGTATGCTTCAAATAGCGGTAAGTTTCACAAAACTATCTAAAGAAAAGGCATCTTAAGGTAATAATGGATATAAATAAGTATCAAAAAGGACAGATTTACAAAATAGTAGATGTAGGATACACTAAATGCTACATAGGAAGCACCTGTGAAAGTTTGAGCAAACGAATGGCAAGACACCGGAAAGATTACAAATCATTTAAAAGAGGACAAAAGGGACATACAAGGTCGTTTGATATTTTTAATGAGTATGGCATTGACAATTGTAAGATAGAATGGATTGAAGACTACCCGTGTAATACTAAAAAAGAACTGGAAGCAAGGGAATGATTCTACATACAAAACCTTGAGTGTGTAAATAAAAATGTAATAGGTAGAACCCCCAAAGAGTATCGGGAACAAAATATTGACAGTGTGAAAGCCTATAAACAACAGTGGTATGAAAACAACAGAGGAATAATTTTAGATAAGGCAAAAGAAGAACCTGATGTAAAATAAATTTGTGTATGCGGTTCAACTTACTGGATGAAAAGGAAGCACATTCACGAACAAACCGTAAAGCATTGTAAATACATACAGGCTTTACAAAATACCACACCGAAACCACAACCAATGACAAAAGATGAGAGGAATGAAAAACGAAAAGAAAAACACATTTGTCTATGGGGTTCCACTTATAGAAAAAGTGATAAAGCAAAACACGAGAGGACACAGAAACACCAAGACTACTTGAAACAACAAGTAGCCAACAAAGAAAAGTAGAAAAACATTAAAATGAAGACCTTGTTGAAATCCACCATTTATTTATGATGAAAATTGATAGGATACATTATCATAATATAAAATTACAATATATTATGATTAATGTTTTTTTGTTGGTAGGATTTTGATTTCCTACTTTTCTTTGTGAAGCAGGATTTTGATTTCCTACCGGGTAGGATTTTCATTTCCTACTTGAAAAAGGGGGGTCTTGAGGTAGGATTTTGATTTCCTAGCAGGTAGGATTTTGATTTCCTACTTGGAAAAGGGTGGTCTTGAAGTAGGATTTTGATTTCCTACGGGGTAGGATTTTGATTTCCTACTTACTAAATCCTCATCTACAAGCCCTCATCTCCATCCATTGGAACATCCACAGAGGTGGGTAAGGTGGTGTTGTTATGATTTATGGTATAGTCTATTTTATAATCTATTGTATTGCTTATGTTGTTTTGTTTTTTTCTTTTGTTGTTTGTTGTTGTGATTTTGTTGTTGATGATGTTCTAATCTAGGGAAAAGTGATAGGAAAGGCACTTAAAGAGTTATTACCTATCTATAGTAGGTAATGGAGGATACTAAAGTCAAGTGTGCTAAATGTTTTAAGGAAATGGAAGAGGGTAAATACAAAACTTGTGATAAATGTAGGGAATATATGAGGGCTAATCATCAAACGAACAAAGAAAACTATAATGAAAGGAGGAGATACTATTATTACAATCATATAGAGGAGGCAAAGGAATATGCTAGAAATTATGGTAGGACACACAGGGAAGAAATAAATGAAAGAAGAAGAAATCATAGAGCAGAAAACATTGAACAAGTGAATGCTAAAATAAAATGGATGACCCGCCCTGTATGTGATGATTATGAAATTCAATGTAAGAATTACAAGAGACACACACACACAAACAACAAAGCATCTGGAGAACTTGAAGAAACAGCAAACATAAATTTCATTTTATAATTTCAAAATTATAAAAGTGAAATTGTTTTTTGTTATGATTTATGGTATAGTCATTTTTATAATCTATTGTATTGTTTAGGTTGTTTGAGTTTTTTTTTGTTTTGTTGTTTTGTTGTTATGATTTATGTTATTGTTTTCTATAAGGTGCTGCTCCCCTGTCTTTGGTATTAACCCCATAGAATTTGCTTGTATAATAATGTGGGCGGTTAGATGAGAAAGACGGGGGAGCACAATGCGAACTGTATCATCCACAAGAAACAATGGACTGAAAAAATGTGTCAAGCTCCATGCATTCCAATTTCTGAATCCTAATGAATAGTGAATAGCGATGAAATTGTGGAATAGTGTTTTAGCGAGTCTTGCAAGCCTCCAATTTTTATGCGGATGTATACCATGGTACCACCAATCATTTGGCAAAAAAAACGCCAAGTGTGGTTCAAAATCCCAAGACTTGAGAAGCACCAGGGGATCCACAGTAAATAAATGCTGGCTTTAGATGGTTGAAGCTTCCTGTTCAGATGGAGAACTCAAGTTGAGGTCCACAGTGAGTTGCGGGTTTGGAAATCTCGACCCATTCGCAAAATATGCGCAAAAAAGACTGGAATATCGGAAAGAAATCGTACGAACATTTCGAACCGTCGCCGACATATCCCGGTAAAATATATTCCCACTAAACAAGATGTTTTTTTTTGGGCTGCTTCACCCTTATTTTTATCCAAGGAATATCACCCAAAAAATCTGGAAAAATCACCCAAAAAATCTGGAAAAAGTGAAGAATATCAACTTAAAATTCCTCAAAGATATCACCTAAAATTGTCCAACACGAAAAAGATCACCAAGAATCCCAGGTTGCTCTCAGCTACCCGGCCTGGTAAACGAACAGTTTGCTATTGAAAATGGCCCAGTCGAAATCGTGGATTTACCCAGCTAGAAAATGGTGGATCTTTCCAGTTCGTTATGTAAACGTTTACCAGAGGGTAACCATCATATATCCCAGTATATCCCATGAAAATACCATTGAATACCATATAAATCCCATTAAATCCCATTAAAATACCATTGAGTACCATAAAATCCCATTAAATCCCATTAAAATATCATTAAATCCCATCAAATTCCCATTAAATCCCATCAAAATACCATTAAATCCCATCAAAATCCCATTAAATCCCATTAAAATCCCATTAAATCCCATCAAAATACCATTAAATCCCATCAAAATCCAATTAAATCCCATCAGAATCCAATTAAATCCCATCAAAATCCCATTAAATCCCATCAAAATCCCATTAAAATCCCATTAAATCCCATCAAAATACCATTAAATCCCATCAAAATCCAATTAAATCCCATCAAAATCAAATTAAATCCCATCAAAATCCCATTAAGTCCCATCAAAATACGCTTTTTGCACCGGTGAGAAAACCCCGCCTGCGCTGTTCGCCTTCGCACTCACCTCGAGAAGGTGGTCCAGCTCGGAAGCACCAGCAGCCTTGGATTTTTGATTTTTTGATGGGGATTTCATGGGATTTTGTTGGGATTTCATGGGATTTTGTTGGGATTTCATGGGATTTGGTTGGGATTTCATGGGATTTTGTTGGGATTTCATGGGATTTGGTTGAGATTTCATGGGATTTTGTTGTGATTTCATGGGATTTTGTTGGGATTTCATGGGATTTTCTTGGGATTTCATGGGATTTTCTTGGGATTTCATGGGATTTTGTTGGGATTTCATGGGATTTTGTTGGGATTTCATGGGATTTTGTTGGGATTTCATGGGATTTTCTTGGGATTTCATGGGATTTTCTTGGGATTTCATGGGATTTTCTTGGGATTTTTTAATAGGTATTTCATGGGATTTTGTTGGGATTTCATGGGATTTGGTTGGGATTTCATGGGATTTGGTTGGGATTTCATGGGATTTGGTTGTGATTTCATGGGATTTTGTTGGGATTTCATGGGATTTCATGGGATTTGGTTGGGATTTCATAGGATTTTGTTGGGATTTCATGGGATTTTGTTGGGATTTCATGGGATTTGGTTGGGATTTCATGGGATTTTGGTTGGGATTTCATGGGATTTGGTTGGGATTTCATGGGATTTGGTTGGGATTTCATGGGATTTTGTTGGGATTTCATGGGATTTTGTTGGGATTTCATGGGATTTTGTTGGGATTTCATGGGATTTGGTTGGGATTTCATGGGATTTTCTTGGGATTTCATGGGATTTTGTTGGGATTTCATGGGATTTTCTTGGGATTTCATGGGATTTTCTTGGGATTTCATGGGATTTTCTTGGGAATTCATGGGATTTTCTTGGGAATTCATGGGATTTTCTTGGGATTTCATGGGATTTTGTTGGGATTTTGTTGGGAGTAACTAATCTAGAACTGGTTTTTTGGTGGTTTTTCTACATGGAATTTATGGATGTTCATCCCCCCCAAATATGGTGGGTGCTGATTCATAACCATATGAGAGCCTCACAACAATCTGGGAAAAAACAAAGGTCTTTCTTTATCGATGAGAGATAACATTGGGAAACCGAAGATCCTTATCAATACGTTGTTGGCATAACATAGTATAACATAGTATAACTAGTAATCAATTGATATTCTCAGTTGCCCATAAATCCACTGGTCAACCATCATGCTCCAATGGATCGAAATTCCATGAACACACCCAAAAATGGGTTATACTTTGGCTAGGTTCTTTCTGCATTGTTTCATACATCCTTTACATCTATCAAAATAGGAGTTTCATAGAAATTGAGAAGTTGCTATTGTTTCCAGAGAATTTTTTTTCTCGATCCACCCCCCAAAGGCGCGTTTTTTTTGCTGCGAATGGTTGCTGCACGACTGGGTTTAGGGCCAACAGTCTGGAGGACTGAACCCGACTGAGTACCGTGTCTCAAAACCTCGACTTGAACAAGTCCGTTACACTGTATACATCTGTATACTATATCCATAGAAATATCCCAGCATGTCCCATGATAAAAATATATATCATTTATCGCCATATTAGTCTCTGTCAAACGCCATGGCTTCCATCACAGCATTTTTGGCTGTTCCGATCCTCATCGGTTGGTCATAACTCAACTCGTAATCCCAGCAGAAAAGCCTAATGGAAATGAATGATAGCCATAAAAAATGTATACATCGATGATATCATCAATCTAAAAATCCCTCGGTTTTTTGCAATAAAAGCAGAAAATCACAGCACCGAATCCCATTGCATGCGTGACAAAAACCCTAGCCCTGTTCACATCATTTCATTGGCCTGGGATTAATGGATGATCGTCAGAGCAAGTCCCAGTTCTTCCAGCAAACTTGCGACCAATGTCGACCAATGCTTTTTTGAGGTGAAGAATAAGTAAATCATCGAACTAAATGACCATCTAGAAATCATAGCAAACTGTCCTCTATCCTAGGTAAATACCATGGTAAAACATCTACAAACGGGCCGATACCATAGCAGACTGTTAACTTGTAGGCTTGAATCATCAAACCTTAAATGTAATTCATTCAACCATGATGTTTTTTTAAATGTGTTTTAGATGATTTGCCGTGGTAAAAATGAGAATTTTCCATAGCTTCCAGGCAGCCGCATAGAAGATGGTGGCAGACTTCGTCTCCCCTCGCGCCAGGTGGCCACAGGGCACCTGGCATGGAGGCACGGGCCCCTCTGGGTGCAGTTCCTATGCCGCATGACCGGATGGTTTCGAAAGACCGGTTCCAGGAATTGCTATATACAGTATATATATATATATATATATGGCTGGTGGTTTTTATCCAAAAAATATGCTCGTCATCTCAATCAATTGTACTTTTTCTATGTTTTGTTCAACAATGTTCAGCATCATCTGGTTGGTGGTTTCAACCCCTCTGAAAAATATTAGTCAGGTGGGATGATTATTCCCAAGATATGGAAAAATAAAAAATGTTCCAAACCACCAATTAGATATATATGTGTCTTACCAAACTACCAAACTATGGTCTCCTAGTCTTGGTAGCCACGGATGTTTTGAAATATATATATATATTCAAAAATTGGGAATTTAGAGTGGCACTGCTGAAAGAAGAAACACATAGTTTGGTAAATTAGACCAGTTCCAGCCGCACTTCATACACCCAATGAAACAAAATGTTGAGAGACCTGGGAAAAGGATACTAAAAACGCACCAGGAGGGAATTCATTCAAAGAATTTTATGATAGGTAGGGCAAATTGTGCGACAGCATCCAGCACGTTACCACGAGCACTACCAAGAGCATTACCTCGGCCAAAGGCCTTTTAGGCCTTGGGACACAAAGGTCCCATCGTGTTTATGAATTCTTTCCAAAAGGTCCATGTCCTGGTTGGTGGTTTCAACCAACCCCTCTGAAAAATGATGGACTTTGTCAGTTGGGATGATGACATTCCCAATATGATGGGAAAAATAACCCAGTCATGTTCCAAAGCACCAACCAGATTTCTGTCTATGGCAGCCTGCTGAACAAATCTCGCAGAAGTTATGAACTTATCGGGACCATAGAGATACAGCCCGCCAGGAGATGGTTGAAGCATGTTGAACCTTTGTCATTGGAGACAAATTGTAACATGCCAACATAGACTGGTGATACCCTCTGGTTATGTCAAAATAGCTATTGAAAATGGCCATAGAAATAGTGATTTTTCCCATTAAGAATGGTGATTTTCAATAGCTACGTTAAATTACCAGAGGGTATTTAGCCTGCGAACATTGTGAGTCACAAGTCACGCGTGCTTCGAAGCTGGCCATCTAGTTGATCCGATGGAAAAAACCCAGGAGTTTTGTAAAACCGTGGCCGATTGAGTCGGGACTTCACACCCGAGCGTTGTGATTTTTTTGCTCACCAATAGAAACTTGCTGGGCATGATTTTTCCAAAGTTTATTGTACTTGTACAAATAGACTTGAAAATTGTTATACGCGTCGCAAGCTGCATGCCCCTGCCTACAACGAGAAAACAAGACATACTCCTCATAGCCAAAATGCAACACGATGGCGTGTCGGTCAAAACTTGAGTACAGAACCTTATTTATATATTAGGTGGCGGATTGACAATTTCTTGGATGGAACAAACGAGAAATTTGTTGGATAAATTCACAAATTGTGTTCCTTAAATCATTCATCCCCAAACAGGAAGATATTTGTTAAAATATCATTCATCTTATTTTTGTCCTGCCTTTTTCTAGACAATATTCAATATTAGTTTCTTTGAGTGGCCCCCACCAACTGACTTTCTTTCTGACATATATTCTGACATTCTATCGGGCATCCTTTCTGGCATTCTATCTGACATGTCATTCTGGCATTCTACCTGAACTTCTATCTGGCCTCCCTCCTGGCATTGGCTCCACTTGAGCTGGCTCTTGCCAATGAGCAAGGCAGAGGAGAAGGAAGAAGAAGAAGAAGAGGAGCGGATGCATTTGTCAAAATCTAGAGACCCTCACCAGGTGGAAAAAAAAAACATCCATTATCTCCAAGTATATCACCATGAACATCCCATGAATAAAACCCATAAATCACCCTTAATATCCCATCAACATCCCATTAAAAGATATGTAAAGCCACCAAAAACGGTGGGATTTTTCGGACATCCTGCACCGCCTGGGATGGTTGAAACATCCACAGTATCACCATAGCCTGTCAACATCCCATTAAAAGATAGTGGATTATCATAATTAACCAATCATTATTAACCAACATTAAGCATTATTAACAATCATTAAGCATCATTAAGCATTATTAACCATATGGATTAGCATTATTAACCACTATATCACCATAACCTGTAAGCATCCTCTGCATCACCAGGGCATCGGCATCACCAGGGCGCGTAGATGCCATAGGCCCCATCGGAGCTTGACCTTGACATGTCGGACATCGTCGCAGCCTCGGCGCTGGGAGAACGGACTGGCCTGGCTTGTGGATGATATCTATGATAGACACACATATATGATTCATACGTATAAATACATATATATATATACATATATACAATATATTAATATATATATACATATATATATATATATATACAAATAATAAATATAATTGTATATATATATGGTCATGACAGCAATAAAGTAGTCCCAGTAATATATAATATACCTACTGGTTGCTCAGAAGGTTTAATTGCCGCCTTTCACCCCTTAGTCGTCACCAGTATCGCTGGAAACCCACGATTTCTGATTTCTGGGTCAGATCAAGCACAGGGTATTACCCTCTGGTAAACTAACATAGCTATTGAACATGGCCATTTGTAGTGGATTTTCCCATGAAAAATGGTGATTTTCCATAGCTATGTTAGTTTACCAGATGGTATCTTGCAAACACACTTTGATACCGTTTGTTTAAAAGTAAATTGATGTAAATGTACGTTGCAGGTAAATTGATGTAAATGTCGCTCAAAGGCAAGCTTTGCAGAAATGGTCATGTTTGAATTCCTCCTCAAATTTCAGGGGTGCTCTCGGTCTTATCCTCTTTTGTGTGAACCTATGTAAATTCTTCAGTCCCTTTCTTTTTTCCCACTGGCTCTCCAAACTATCTGGAAAAACATCGTTATTCACCAACCAGAAATGTGGGTTTAGGTGAGGGTCTACATATAGAATACCGAAAATTCTTCATTTTCGGATGCAGATTTTCCACATTTTTTTCCGCCATAGCCACATAGACATCCGCAAAATTTCCGTAGTGCTGCAGGATGATGGCGTGGCTGTCGGGATTCGGCGAGAAGGCAAAGACCGCCTCATCGCCTCGGGCGCAAAGTCCAGTCGCCGTAGATTGTTCACCAAAAATGTGCGGGTCACATCGACCATAGAGCTGTACAAATTTGTGTAACCCATAGTATCCATGTATGCCATATATGGCAACATTTACCATCAATATACCCCAAATGTTAGAATATATACCATACATGGATCCTATGGGTAATATATTTGAAACATGTTGAAACCAACGATATCCCATGATATCAGTGCGGTAACTAAAAAACCATCTGCTGACATTTAGAAACCATTAGAGAAAATGGCAATCATTAACCTGGGTAAATTATAATTCACTGACCTGAATTGTTGGGCCATTTGGGGATGATTTCCCTTATTAACCATGATTCCAGGGTTCGGTCGGTGAGGTCGCGATGTGAGGTCGTTATAATTTACCCAGATTAACCATTTAGAAACCATTTAGAAACCATAAAAACGGGTCGTTTCAACGCCCGTTCGGCGCCGTTGGCCGCGCTGATCAGCGCGTTTTTGGTGTTTCACCGGCGCTGGGACCCCGGCTGGACTGGACCCGAAGGACCTGCCGCAGCTGGGTGCTGTGAATTGTTCCATCTGCCGTTGAGATGACCGGCAAAGGTACCTCCAAGACACCTGGTACTGAGCAGTTTAGGTATTTTCCAGTAGCTCAACTTCATTCATCTTCCATCTCCAGTCTGGTGATTCACAGCCACCTCAAGCTAGATCGCATCCAGGCCAGCCCTGCGCCTTGCCATGTGCCTCCGGCTGAAATTGGCCCTGCACGAAGTGGCCTGCTAGAGTCAGGGCTCGGCGACCCGTTAGGATCATCTGTTCTTGTTTGGGGTCACGTTAGAAAGGCTTTATTTCTAGGGGGATGGGATTCATTCATACCATATACCCTCTGGTAATTTAACATAGCTATTGAAAATTGCCATTTATAGTTGATTTTCCCATTAAAAATTGACATTTTCCATAGTTATGTTAGTTTACCAGAGGGTAATATGGTGTGGATATATATATATATATATACATATCCATGCCACTCATTTTGGGGTCCGTGGAGGCTTTGTTGTTAGGGAGATGGAATTTTTCATCGGCGCTAGGCCTTCAGGGATTTTCACTTCCCCAGGAGCTCCAGGGCAGTGGGGAGAATATCTCAGGAGACCAAATCATGAGGGTTTACCATGCGCCAGGGCAGCGAGAGCAGTTGTAGGCACCCCGGACAGCTCTTACTTGCAGGTGCAGTTGAGGCTATTAACCATGGTGGCAACATGTAGCAACATGTAGCAACATGTAGCAACCTCCAACAGTTGCTATTTAACCCCTATGAAACTGTGGTTTTATCACCACTTCCGTACGGCGTACGGTAGCCCTATGAACGTAACTAGCGGTAGCCCATGGCTTGTTCCCCGGGGGATCCGAAAGATCAAGGCCTTGCTCCTTGCGAGGCTGATCAGATGTGCCGATCCAATCGTCTGAGGTTCCGAGGTAGACCTGGCGACGACTCTTCAGTCGCGGTCTGGACACGGTGAAAACAGGGTGCCCCACGGGTGAAAAAATCCCATGGCCCCGATGATTTGAAGGACACAACTGGGAGGTTTTATATCGGTATACCTCATTTTCTGACACACACACACACACCCACCAAAGGTTCTCAGCATCCTTCTCTTGGGCCCCCACCTGAAGATCGGTGACATCAGTCAAGGCAGTGAAGGTGAAGGTGATGTTGAAGACCATGCCATCACCCAGGAAGCTATAACTTCCTGGCCATACAATGCACCTTTCGTTCAAAAAAGGGTCCCAATGGATCACCAAGGTCTTACCCGTCTGTTGTGTTTATAACTAGTTTAACGATTGTATACATGTATCTTTATATATATATGTGTGTGTAGTAACCCCAAAAAGATGAGGAAAAAACACTAATATATTCATAAATCACTTTTCTACCTTTTTGCTACATCATTAATTGGCTGAACATAACCCAACGTGACTGGGGGCCAGCACCTTCGTGACGGTCACGGAAGCTTCTGGTTCAATATTGTCAATGGAAATTCCAGGGTTAACCAATGCCCATCTCTCATAGGGCCCTATATAGCTTTTGGTTTTTAAATGCACTACTATTGTTGGTTGTACCTATTGGATTCTGGCCCTGTTTCACTCCTGAAATTTGAAAAAATGGAAGCCAAGAATCACAAATTCCCTCATTCCAGTCTATTCAAATCAAGTTTTTGGAGTGTCATTTTTTTAGAGTCTACCCTCTGGTAAACTAACATAACTATGGAAAATCACCATGTTTATTGGTATATCCACTATTACCAGAGGGCAAACCCCCGCGAAATCCTCACTTTGGTCACATGAGATTTATCAGACCCGGTGCCGCAGAAATCGATGCCAAGGGGCGCAGCACTTGGGCCTGGGAACGAGATCTTGGGATCTTGGGAAAGCCAGTACCCAGTTTTTATGGCAATTTCTAGATGATAAAAAAAAATTGCCATATTTATTTCATGGTGTTAAAAAAACTATAAATGAATGGCAAGTTTATAGTACCCATATTTGAAAACGAAAGTTTTGCAAATATGATGACAAAAATGATAGGATTCTGAGGGGGATTCTGAGGGGGATTTGGATGGGAGGATTTGGAGACAACCCCAAATGTGACCATGGATCAAAACCCTGGGAAAGCCACCCCCCTCTGAAAATCCGACCAAGATCAAGATGTGAAGCAAAAGTCAGCCGGGATATTCACCGGCAATCTAGTGGGGATGCTTAGCAAGTGGTTTTTAACACCTAACCATGTTTCTATATAAGTCAAGTATCACTCAGTTCAAAGGAGTTCAGAAGCCCAAAGTTAGTCTATGGCCAGTAGCTGGCGTAACCTCGGAAATGTATACATATATGTATATATATCCCCGATTTTTTTGGGGGTTGAATCACCCATTTCCTTAACATTTAGCGCTCCGCAGAAATCACCAAAAGATCCAAATATGTATCCCAAACTTGAAAGATCGAAAAATCTGCAAAAATATGTTTCGATATCGTATATTATATATAATGTATAAATAATAATAATAATAACAATAATAATAATAATAGTAATAATAATAATAATAAAATAATAATAATAATATATATATATGTATGCATGTGTATAATATATACAGTATATATATATATGGCTATGGATCAATACCTATAGATACCATTTTTAGGGGGATGAACATCCATTTACCAGCTATTTTGATGTTCACCAGGGGTGCAAAGTTTTGACCCACTGCCATATGATTTTATCCTCTACAGAAAAATCAAATCCCGTCCTTCCCCGGGCGGCACCTGTGGCACAGCGTTCAGTGTAACCTGAGATCTCGCTGCAAAGGCGCTAGCTGTGGTCTTCACCACATCAAGTTCGCCTGGCGGGAAAGGGGGAGATTCGCCACAATGTGGTGCCCCAGTTCGTTAGCTAAGTTGGTTTATAACTTCAATAACTATGGTTTATGGTAGATATATCTGTAGTTAATGGGGTTTATAAACCAACTTATAACTGGGGGGCGTAACCTTGCACTTATAGAAACCCTAAGAAGGGGAAAAATTGAACAACCATAAGCTGATGATTTAGTGCTGATTATTGTTGATTATTGTTGTTTTTTCTAATATTTGTCTTGTTATCGAACCACCCTGGAAAGACACTTCATCAAATCGGCATCTGTTTTGAGGCTATAAATGTCAGCAACACAAATTAAGGATAATGGACAATGGAAGTACTTCGTAGGATATTCAATTGGAATATATCAGCCATGATTTTAGATATATTTGAGCGTGGTACCTGAAAATGGGTGATCTACCCCACCCCTTCTGGGGGAAAATCATGATCGACCAATGAATGAAAAACGATCTGGTTGTGTTGTGGCTAAGATCACCCTATTTTAGCAGTTGAAACTCCAATGGCCATGGGTGCTTAAGTCGCGACAGCCATGATCCTGGAATGTTGAGACATGTTGTGGTTCCATCCCCTTTAGGTTAGATCAAAATAGTAGTTAGGGGGGTTCCAACAAGTCATGGGGGACCCCCAAGTCTGGGTTTCAATAGGATGATTTGGGATACCCCCATGACTTCGGAAACCTCCATGACTTGGAACGTCCTAAGGAGGACATCCGCAAGGCGCCTGAAAGTTTGGCCAGATGCCCGTCGACCTGCTGGAAGACATTTGTGGTGGGGGCGTCGGAAATAACAAGCGCAGCACGGGGAAAAACGCATCGGATTATTTATAAGACCTGATGGAATACATGTCGATTTAAGAATCAGAAATGGTGGATAGATAACATGGAGCTTCAACCAACAACCAAAACTGGAGTTGTAGAGATGTAATTTTTCAATATCATGGCATATATCATGGGAACAAATCATGGGATTTTTGAGAAATTGTGATCCAATGTGATCCATGGTTTATGGAAGCGTCCATCCCATAGCACTTAAAATCCCATAACCGATGGTTGATTAAACTCCCCCAATGACTGGATGATCATCCCCCTAAAAAAATCTTGTGTTTCATCCCCTGGTGCTCACCTTAAGGCACATTTAAGACTTTGTCCAAATATGGATAAAAATGGGAGATCCAGTTAACTGCTATATTTATATTTCCTGTCTTTTTCATGAGGATAAACGTTTGTAATTGGGGGTTTCTTAAGTTTCAGACAAACCAAAAGTGTGAATTTAGCCAACAAAAATTAGGGAATCAGACCAACCATTTGATGGGGGCATGATACGTAGTGATAATGATCATAATTCACCATCCTGAAATCTCAGATAGCTAGTTAAGTTGGGGTTGATAACCAGGCTGAGTATGATTGAAATGGATTCGCGCAATGTATCTTGTGCTTCGTCTTTATATCTGAATCGCATCCAGCGAAAACAAATTAGCGTTAGCCAAAACATCCATGAAGATCACACCAAATCAAGACTTGGATTGTGCCTTCAATACGCTCAAAACTTGGAGACATTACCAACAATGGGTGTATAACCTCAAAACGAAAATGATTTATGATCCCGTGGCGGGTTCTTCGCCAACGGCAATTGGGCTTGTAACAGGGATATCAGGGACAGTATGAATCAAAACACGGTTATATCATCTAACAACAATCAGGGTTGTCCTACACACCCCAAAATGAGTGGGGAAAAAAAGGGGCAGATAAAAAAATGTAAAATGTGATTCACCAGTTTCCACCCCAAAGTTTTTCACCAGTTTACACCCAAAAAAGGCAAGGCGTTTTGCAACGCCAGCCAATAATTGGTTCATTTCTGGGGCCTGCCACTTTGAAACGGCCAAAATTGGGTGCCTACAATCAGCTGGACATCAGCAAAGACATCCATATACGGACCCGAATATCATCCAATACCAAACAAGGCTTGCAGGGGGATATTTAATATTTGGGAAGGGATATGATTAATTAGCTGGAAAGAATTGAGAGCAACAAAGATGAGGACAGACGTAAGGAAAACAAAAACGAGATGATCATGATCTTTCCCACAAAAAAAAAGGGGATGCCCTCCAGTAAACCAACATAGCTACCTATGGAAAATGGTTCATTTATAGAGGATTTACCTATAAAAATTGTGATTTTCAATAGTTATGTTGGTTTACCAGAGAAGTAAAAGCAATTTCAACACTGCATGTCCACACCCCTTCCAAAAGGTTATTCTACGTAATGCTGGGGGTTCTCTGCATCACATGATTAATGGAAGTTCAATATCCAAACATTTTGACTCACAGAATAACGGCTTGTGTGTGTGGCAGTGACCCTGCCACAAAGTGGTGCATCAAGAGACATGTTGCGAAGAATGAGGCCTGAATTGTCACAAACATACCTGTAAACCCAAACCACTACACATTTTGTCCACTTGGTCAGATTTCCAAAGGATCGTAGAGTCCAACTGGTGAAAGTTGGGGTCACATCAACATAAAATGCGAAAGTTGTACTGCCAAAACCCGGTTCCAAGGAGCAATCACTGGAGCGTTCCTACAAACATGAATAGCACCCAAGTATTAGGAAATCTGAAAGTCGAAATGCCTTCCCATTTTACCCACTCCAAACAAACCTTTAGAACGCCCGATTCTCGGGGTCGACATACCAGCACCGAACCTTGATGGCACAGTCCATGTGTTTGGATCCATAGGTCAACTTGGTCCAACCATTGGTCTGCTGTGACCGGTAGAAGGGTTGCCCCAGTCCTACCGGCACGACATGGAAAGGCATGGAAAGGCAAGCTGGCCGATGGGCAAATGAGCAGCGTCCAAAACCTCCCACCAGACTTTTTGCGGCTGCTGAATCAAACAATGTATCTTAGCAAGTATACTTGGCGCTGTGGTCGCCACGCACCGGGCCATTTGGCACCGGGCTTTCATCACTCATGATTTTGCTTTATACGGGTTGGTTAATAGGATCTCCCAATAATGGACTGTGATAATCTCCAGTACGAAGTAATTTTGTCTAACACCCAATAAACATAAACCAAAAAGGGGTTTGGAACACTGCTGACAAACCAATGTGTTCATCCAATCATTCTTGAAAAAATCCATAGTGGCTTTAAACAATCCCACTATGGATCTTCACCCCCAGGTGCCGACTCGGCAGAGGAAGTGGATTGCGAGCCCTGCGCGGACGTTGTGTTCGCGCCGTGGTCGCCACGCACCGGGCCATTGGGCACCGGGCTTTCCATGATGATGCTCAAGCGCGCCGTCTGGGGAAACAACCTCGGCTTCATGGAACGCGGGAACAAGATTGATGATACTGATGGCAATGGCGACTTTGGCGGCTATTGCTGCTTTGATCACAGTGATCAATTACTTCAAGACGGATTGAAAAACACAATTTAGATTATAAATATAAACTACAATACAAAAAAATGACGCCCTGGCCCATTAAATCGACTAAAAAAACAAACGACTTAAGTGAGCAATTTTCTGGGTTCGTTGGTGCCCTATGTCCCTATGTTTGAACCATAGACACGTGGGTTTGTCAGATCGCGTTGTTGTTGTTGTTGTTGTTGTTGTTGTTGTTGTTGCTGTTGTTGCTGTTGCTGTTGCTGTTGCTGTTGTTATTGCTGTTGTTATTGCTGTTGTTGTTGCTGTTGCTGTTGCTGTTGTTGCTGTTGTTGCTGTTGTTGCTGTTGTTGGTGTTGTTGGTGTTGGTGTTGGTGTTGGTGTTGGTGGTGTTGTTGTTGTTGTTGTTGTTGTGGTTGTTGATGGGTCTCGGGGTAGACTGTTGCAGCTTGGATCGGCACAAGGTGGTACAGGAAGTTTCCTAAAATGAGTGTACTCCTAAATCATCCATTTCAATGGGATTTTTCATTATATAAACCATCTGTTTTTATAAAACCCCCATATGTATTTATTGACATGGCTCTTGAGGTGACTTTGACAGATGGCAACCTCCAATGGGGGAAGATGGAGTGATCTTGGACTTGAAACGGATTCTGGGGACCGGGATGGCCTTGAGTTTGAATCAATAGAAGAGATCCGATCAGTTTAGCAACAGGTTCAAATGGAAGAAATTGAGAAATCCTCTTTGGCATCCTAAACTCCGGGAAAGTGATTACAACATATTGCAACGTATTACTGTCATAACAGATCCCTACCACTTAGACCAGGGGGGGCAGAAAATCGTAATATTACTTTTTTCGAGGTTAGGGGGGTGAAATATTACAATATTCGATTTTGAGGGAAAAATGTAATATTACAATTTGTTGGTACCATGGGGGAATAAATGTAAGTTATGAAAGTTCAGGCTGGCAAACATATGCATTTTGCAGGCACATCCAGTGCAGAGGCTTTTCAACTTTACATTTATATTGCCTGAAAATCTGAAAGCACAATCATATAGCGCTATAAAGTGTCATAGGCTATGACTCATAGCCTAAAACCAAAAATATACCACACGATACCATGCAGTACCATAAGGTATCTACGCCATATCTTAAGCATATCCACAAAATATCTACAGTACAACATATCTAAATCATATCGAAAACATATCTAAAACACATTGAGCATACAATTTTATATTTATTTTGTCTGAAAATCTGACAGCATAATCATATAGCGGTATAAAGTGTCACAACATATCTAAAGATACCATATGATACCATGAAATACTGTACCATAAACTATCTAAACCATATCTTAAACATATCCACAAAATAATTCCTTCCCCCTATTACCAAACCCACCCAAATAATAAATACCTGGTTCCATCTCCAATTTTGGAAAATTTCAGATTGGCCAACTTGACTTTTGATTGATCCCCTTTAGAAAACAATTTAAAAATAAAGCTACCATTTGTGGGTTTCGCCCCTTAATAATAAAAACTAGTCAACCCCGGGGTGTTTATTATTAGGGTCCGTCCGGATTTTTTTAGTTTTATATATTAAGGTTTTTAATTATTATTAGGGCCCGCTTCGAAATCGAATTTTTGGCAATATTTTAATCGTTATATAAGGAAATTGAATAGATTTTGAAATCGGAAAAATAGCATGTATTATTAAAGTTTTAAATTGATTAATAGGGTCCGCTTCGAAATCCAATTTTTATTGCGTTATATAAGGGAATTGAATTGATTTTGAAATCGGAAAAAATAGCATTTATTCTTCAGGTTTAAAATTTATTATATAATAGGGTCCGCTTCGAAATCCAATTCTTGGCAATATTTTAATTGCGTTATATAAGGAAATTGAAATGATGTTGAAATCGGAAAAAAAATATTATTAAGGTTTTAAATTTATTAATAGGGTCCGCTTCGAAATCCAATTCTTGGCAATATTTTAATTGCGTTATATAAGGAAATTGAAATGATGTTGAAATCGGAAAAAATAATTTTATTATTAAGGTTTTAAATTTATTAATAGGGTCCGCTTCGAAATCCAATTCTTGGCAATATTTTAATTGCGTTGTATAAGGAAACTGAATAGATTTTGAAATCGGAAAACATAGTTTATGTTATTAATGTTTTAAATTTGTTAAAAGGGTTCCCTAATAAGTTATGTCACAGCACGGCATATTTTGCAAAGCATCTTTCTGCTTGCCTAGGCTGACGCTGCACCTAGGCACGCATCTGCTGAGAACCACGTTGGGCACCTCAATGACTATAGATGACTGGGATAATATCCTATGTCATTTATTGTCATGTTGAGATATTTTTCCTGCATATGTGCGTATCATTGTGCACTTTGCCTGGAATTGCCATGAACTGCCTGGTGAATGGTGGTGTTTTTTGAAAAATGTAAGCTAGACTGCTTCAGGTGTTGAAAATGATGGTGTTTTGCAGAAGATCTCCATGTCCGAACAGTCAAGCTTACATTTTCGTATTACTTTTTATTCCATCTTATTCCCACATTATGTCATAGGGTGACATATTGCATCATACTGTGACATATCTTGCAACGCATTTTTCTGCTTGCATAGGTTGGCACTGCACCAGAAGGAGCATCTGCTGAGAACGACGTGGGGCACCTAGATCACTGTAGATGACTAAGATTGGCATGGGTTCACCAACATTGACAAATATTGACAAGGTCCTTTGATAGTTATATAGTTTCTTGAAGTTTCTTATGGTGTCCAGTTGTTTCTTGATGCTCCCTATCTAAGCGTGAAAGATGTAAGTTGATGCAAGATCATGCAAGAAAATGTAAGATCCAATGTTACATTATATTACCATATATTACCATTACCTATATGGTAAACCGTTTGGGGGAGTGTGTTTGAGATAGTGGTGGGCTGCATGGATTCTGGCCCCCCTATTGCTTTCAGCTTACATTTTTGCGTCGCATAGCTGAGATCCCGTTTGGTCATTTCATGATATTTAATGTCATTTTTTGTGCATATATGCGCATCATTGTGCACTTTGCCTGGAGTTGCCTGGTGAATGGTGTGTTTTTTGAAAAATGTAAGCTAGATTGCTTTGGGTGTTGAAAATGATGGTGTTTCCAGAAGATTTCCATGCCCACACAATCAAACTTACATCTTTATTACTACTTCTTATTCAATCTTATTCACTCATTATGTCATAGGGTATCATAAGGTTACATATTGTATATCATTGTATCATAATGTGGCATATCTTGCAAAGTATTTTTCTGCTTGCCTAGGCTGGCACTGCACCTGGGGGAGCATCTGCTGTGAACGATGTTGTGCACCTAGATCACTGTAGATTCTAGATGACTAGGATGATATTCTATGTTCATTTTTTGTGCCTGTGATTGCATATGTGCGTATCATCGTGCACTTTGCCTGGAATTGCCGTGAATTGACCTGGTGAATGGTGGTGTTTTTTGAAAATGTAAGCTAGACTGCTTTAGGTGTTGAAAATGATGGTGTTTTGCAGGAGATCCCCATGTCCACACAGTCAAACTTACATTTTTATTACTTAGTCTATCTTGCACCATCTGGTTCCCACATTATGTCATAAGGTGACATATTGTATGTTTTTGTATCATAATGTGACACATCTTGCAAATCATTTTTCTGCCTGCCTAGGCTGGCACTGCACCAAGTTATGCAGCAAATCTCTGTTCAAGACAATTCAAGACACAGTTGCTATGAAAACATACCTCCAAGAATTTTCCCCACAAAATAGCTGACATTTATGTTCATACGTTTTCTATCATTTCCCGTGGTATTGAAATTCTGGAATTGAATGGTATTGATGCTATTGAATGAAATAAATACTAGTGAAATATCGTTTATCATCTGTATGTTTCCCATGTCTCATTTCACGGGGAGACACAACGGGGGAACGGCTCGAGGACTTCGACCCGGCAGGGACGGGGCAACATAACGGGTAACCAATCAGCGGGGAACAACGAGAAAATGAGAAATGTCACGTTTATAGTTGGTAAACAAAAAAGGCTGCTTGTGCAACACATTGAAATTTCAAAATTGTGCATATGTGCTCAATAATAGTTCGATATTTTCAAAACGGATTTCTATACATAAATTATGTCCACAATCAGTTTCAAAACATTCAGTGGTTCATTTTGAAGGTATTGCAAAAAAAAACAAAAATGTGTTTGTCAAAATATGCCGAAAAATGAGCCGTAATCAGTCTAAAAGATTCAGTTGTTCATTTTCAAAGTATTGCAATGATGTTTTGAGAAAATGTTTTCAAAATATGTTTGTCAAAAGCACATTAAGATATGGTTTGGATAGTTTATGGTATCATATGGTATCTTTTGATA